CGTTCACAGTTGCTCCTTGATTAAGATCACTTGCAATTTGTCGCACTGTTGCTCTCCTGTTGCGCTGCACAACCCTGGCCAGCCTTCTCTCTGATCGAGCATTCAGTACCCTGTGACGACCACAAGTCTGACGTTGAGACCCGGTTTTTTGCTTGATTGTTCATTCTTTGTACACATTAACAACTGCTGCTCTAGAACACTCCACAAGTGCAGCCGTTTTGCTCATACTCGTTCCGACACATCTCGCACCCACAATCATTCCACGTTGAAATTCAGTTAAATCACTTTTCTTTCCAATATCTGAGCAAGCAACACAGTATAACTGATGACTCACTTGTCCAGCATTCCCGTGTTATAGTTATCTTGCCCTCTAGCGGCTGCGCTGTGACGCAATAACTCATTTGCATAAAACTCTGAGGTAGTCATAATAATTTGGCCTCTCAGTGTATATATATATATCAGTGGGTTTTGTCACATCTTGGTGGTATGCAAGTCAATGATCAGGTAGATATACTTACAAAAAACCCAATATCAATCTTCATTAGAACAACTCATTGCATTGTATGACATTGTACACGTTAAACCAGAGAAACTTAAAACGTTTTTGAACAAAACTGAAGTTAATAATTTGCACAAACCAAATAAAAGTGAAACCTGAGTAAAATATTTGAAAATATACGAAACTGCTAGAAATTTTTACATGAAGGATCCATGCAGAATAATTAAGTAGCTGCCTGCGTGTATTAAGTTTTTATCTAAGTTAATCGGCATTTCAAGTTATCATTGTAATTTTGGAACAGACAGTGTAAGAATATAACAGAACTAAAGTTATGTATAGATGGTTATTAAATACAGCTTAGTATTTAAAAACAAATTATTCATCATACGTTTTACTTGTTCATTTGCAAGAGAACTATTGTGAGGTTTAAAATAATGCTTTGTTTAAAACGTGACTCTTTGCCAAAAATTGCACCTTCAGAGCCTGATCTGAGCATTCGCCACCTCGCCAACTGTGATAAAATCATAAATTAGGCGAATAAATTTGTATTTTGGTGAAAGTATTGGCGAATGATTTTTTCCACAGGAAAGAAAAATATATATTTAACACGATCCTGAAAATTACGTCAAAATGAATTTTATAAGCAAATTAACATTCTTTACAGTAATTTTTGTTAGATGCTCCTCATAACCAATTAGAATTGGATCTAAATAATACATGCCTGAAGCAAGCTACCATACAATAATTTTCTATGGAAAAAAATATTAAGATTTGCATTTGGCAGAGACTATTGAAAATCAGCTAATAATTTTGATGTTTGGCTAGTTTAATGTCTAATAATTTGAAATCTTTAAGGCTGGCTTTATCCTCTTGTGGGCTCCTAAATCATACTTGTTCGATTTAGACGACAATTATAAGCTCTACGTTTGCCGTAATATATTATAATGCTAGTTTAATCTACTTTAATGATAATTTAATTTGTTTTAACAATTTAGCTTATTATTATGAGGTTTATAATTATAATAGGGCTGCAACTACTTAAAATTATGTTAAAGGACTTAAATGCTCTTGTTCTGTTGCCTGTCCTATTGATCCCTAAGTTTTTAGAGAAACTGTTTTTTTGACAATCGAAAATCTAATCCTGGTCATGAATTAATTCTATCCAAGGGATAAGCCCTCTCGTGATTCAATTAATCATATGTCTACAAGACATTTACCAGACTAATCTGCTCCTGGCCTTCTTATGCACTTTAGGTTTTAATGGAGTCAATTTCAATATCCAAGATTCCAAAACATTAGTAGAAGATTACCGAATAAACTTAACTCTTCAATGAAAAAGCAAAAGAACAACGGATGAATATAGAAACAAAATTAGATTGAAAACTCTCAAATTTAGTTCAATACAGTAGATTAGCAGTCTCTAAAAACCAAATATCAAACCTAGTTTGTCCTATGTTAACATAGGATGATGTGAACATTAAAGTTGAATCTGGTTAATGATTTTTGCTCTGTGTGTGGAACTGATTCAGTTAAGATAATGTTTGATGGGAGGTACAGTCCGCAAAAAAAAAAAGATATCACCCTGAATAACTTTCGTTCTAATGATCGGATTTTCACGAATTAAGTGTTAATCTTAATGGTTCCTGGGGGTGACCTCAAATATGCTAATTAATTAGTGCTAACTATTAATTAAGTTACGAAATCAGACACAAAAACGTANGGTACATAAAATATATTTTAATCAAATATTAATTCTAATGATGATTTTTTTGTTTTAAAATTAATTTTGTTTTAATTTTTGAATAAAAATCATACTTGTGTTTTTCAGTAACAATTCAGTCGCAAGTATTTTATGACAACTTTTTTAGATCATTTACCGAACTTGTAACAGTTAAAAAAATGTAATGCTGTATTCTTTATTACATAGCAAAACTCTTGTTTTGGGGGATT